GACGGCGGCGAATCGCAGAAAAGAGAAACACGTTTCGCAAAGTTGCGTTTCAAAAGCAGACGCGAACGATCCACGCGCGGCTGGCTAGACGATTTATTTGCAAACGACCCAGTTTTTCATTGGTAAAATCAAACTGAAACAATAGGAACGGTAAATACTCTGAATATTAAGGTGCGTGTCCACTTGTTGCGTATCCTCGTATCGTATCGCCGTTTGTTTATCAATCTGGACGAGCAAGCGTTGCATCGCTGCGTTTGAAAATGTGTCGTATGGTGATAACGATACAATGATATGCAACAAATGGATACGCACCTTTAGGCTGTTACAGAAATTCTGTTTCGCCTGAAGATATATTAGATAGAGATTTTGATTCTATTAGGGAAGTTTGTATGTACACTGTGTTTCACGGTTTGTCAAACAGATTTTACAGGTTTTGAATATTATTTTTGCATGGCTAGTTTCTCGATGTGGGTTAGAATCGGTCGAGAAAGTGATAGAGTTCGTGCAGCAACCGGATATGAAGGTCTGAAGAACGATTTGCATCTCCATGACGCTGTACGAGATTAAAGCTAAGTACATACCTGAATGATTTCGTTCATTTGTCTGCTGTCGTGTCTGGATTTACTGTGACGTCGGTGTGAAAATGATTTTTCTACTTGCGATCAAAAATCTGTATATAAATTTTTATCCACTTGATCGTGTTATGTAATTCTTCTCAGAAATAAATGAAATGTAGAGGATTAGTGTCTTAGAATAATGAATAACTAGAAATTAATAAAATGTTGAGTTGTTACGTGTCAGTGCAGGTTAGACAAAATTATTAAAATATGCTAAATATATTATAACGACAGAAAGGTTGATTGAAAAAGGAAAAATACGCGGTAATGAAGGGAAGTCATAATTAAAAGGAAACCTCGAGGGTCTTGCGAAGAATACTAATAAACAATAATAGGATCAACAAAGAATAAACACGAAAGATAAAGCAGAAGAATGAAGCGAAGAAAAAAGTTACGGTAGAGGGAAATTATATCCGAGATGATGTCAGTGAATGGTAAAACGAAAGACATGATTCGCACGCTTGAAAAGCAAGAAAGAAAAGTGAGTTACGTCTAACAGCATAATTAATAAGGCACAAGAATAAAAGGGATGCTGGAGTTCTAAAAGAAAAAAGAAACACATTGCTATTATTATTATTACGATACCGTGTGTTGCAGAATGTAGTTCATACAAATAATTATACTGCAATGATAAAGCTCGAGATTCTAGAACCCAGGAAACACTCGATTAAATCATGAATAATCTTCTTGCTGACAATGAAAATTAACTAAGCGATAAAATAATAACAAAATATTAAACTGAACAATTACTAAAGTCACTAGTGGAAAAGATTATACAAAACATTAATCTTAATTGTAAAATAATATAAATCACAGTGAATTGAAAAATGGAAAATGAATTTATGAGTCAAACCTAATGTTTACTAACAAAAATAAGAATAAATCTACTCGGAGAATTTTATTAATAATCGCAAATCCAGCAAAAGACGTTCCTCAAAATACGTTCTATAAAAAATTCTTTAAATATTCGTTTTACATTTTCTTGAATCACTTAATAGGACACGTTATTACACCTGACTTGTTAAAATTAAATAAATGTTTAAAAGGAAATTGTACGTTAGAATACCGTGAAGCACGAAACGAAGTGTCGGATATCGATATCGAAACCGAGAGAAATGACTCCAAATCCGCGACGGTGATGGATTAATATGCATAAAGTTCGTCGCCAAATACATCACCGTTTTGTATGCATACTGTTATGCGTTCGGTTCGCTTTTTTTTTTATGGTTAATTAATCGTGCAGTTTACGAAGCCCCGTGCCGGTAACCCACTTCCGAGGCGAATATACGATTTCTTTGGTCCACTTAGAAGCCGCGTGAGCGCGCGCGCTCGAAAGAAGAGCAACGGCGAAATGTGTCTTCGACAGCGCAATGAACCGTTGACATTTGATTCGGTGTTCATCTAACGTTTTTCAACGTCCACTCAAAAATAATATAAATTTAATATATTAAATTACTATTAATAATTGAAGTCGAATGATAATTACTTTAGTCTATCGAGGATTGTATCTGGATGCTAATAAAATAGAGAACCGTACCGGGCTTTATTAAACTTTTAATTATATTAGATTTTTACAGGCTATCGTGAATGCTATGAATTTCTAAAATTTGAAGTATAGACCTGTGGGTGTTATTTATTTATCTAGCGGACGTATAAACGACGGTAAAACGACGAGTTTATTAGAGATTGTAATCTAACTGTACGGGATCTAATAGTTACAGTAATTGCAAATTATAATAATCGTAATTGTAAAAGAATGAAGGGAAATAACTTCCTATCCAGTTAAGATGTAATCAGACGCGATTAATATTGAAACGAAAGACCACTTACCTGCCTGAAGTCAGGTAAAACGAAAAGAAAACAGGTATTTTTCCATTGGAAGAACAACGATATCGTATTTGCCACTTTGCAGTGTAATGCTTTTAATAGATCTCGATCCGTATATTTCGCGCTCTATAACCAGAGGTCTCCTTTTTCTTTTTCGTCGTTACGTTTGACAGTGCCGCGCTACAATGACAGTGAACCGTAATCACAACGGGAATTAGAATAATAACGATCGCCTGAGGATAATGGGTGGGAATGGGAATAATAATGACGATACTAATAATAAGAATAATTTACGTCGTTGACTGTAAAAGTGGCTCGATTTTTGGTATTGCTCCCCGAATTTCGAAGGCGTCCGGAGTGGCTGAACTCCTCTATATTCGTTATTAAGATAGCAAAACGCTCTAAAATCTTCTCCTCTATATACGCTATCATCCAACAACGACGAACAAATTCCACGCGTCGTCTCTATCGTTTTTACCCGCCATTTTACAATCAAACGTCCTAGCTGCTCGTTTAACACGTTGGCTGCCATGGTGATCACCGATGAACGACTCCATTAAATCAGAAACATTAAATTTCAAAACAGAAACATCTAACATTCCCTAAAAGTAAATAATGGTCGAGTAATAATGAATGTAATGAATGTCGAAAACATCGTTTCAGTCGAGTAAAAATTCAAATCAACGCGGAAAACACTTACAATTGGTCATACAAAAATATTCAGACAGCAGTGCAGTAATTTGACTTCTATATTTTTCTTCACTCTTATGTTTATTTTGACATCTGTAATTTTGAATTCCTAGTTTTTCAGTGAGTTGTCTCTCGACCTTAGCAGCGAGCGATTCACCCTGTATGTATATGTATACTGTATTGAAATATAGTGTAATGTATATATGTATATATGTTCGAAATATAAAGCGCAGAAGTCAAAATTATTACTGGTATCCGAATATTTTTGTGATCGACTGTACATTGTTTATAACAAAGACGTAAACAAATGTGTTTGACGATACGATCGCAAGAGTAATAACTGTGGCGTTCAACGTGTTAACGATATACGATACAGACTCTTCTTGATTATCGTCTGGTTTGTTCCACACGATTATTGTCCAGGCGTTCTCTCCACTACTGGTGAGGGGGAGGCCATGGAATCTTTCAAGCTCATACTTTATTTTTTTTTTTTTTTTTTTTAATGAATTTACGAAGATCTGAAGTATTTCTCCCTATAAGATTATTGTCCGGGCGCAGACCCGGGTTTGGGACGATAATCGAGAGAAGTCTGTATATAATTTGGCCAATGAAACCTGAGGACCAATAGGAGGTGTCGAATTATGGTCCAAGTCTCGATCGGTCAAACTATATGCTATAGCGAACAGAACGATCGCGAAGGCAGGTGCAACAATTGAAATTCATTTCCTTCGATTTCGTACTGTCCTGTCTCTCTGTATTCGATAACAAAGCGTCTTGTAAATGTGTATACAGGTAACACCTATGTATATAAACACGTTGAGACTCGGAACACGTTCTTCCAATGGTTTTGTCCGCCTTTGCTAGGCTTTTGCTACTTCGTTGGCTAGCTTCGCGTCGGTCTCTCGATCTCGAATTTCGATGTCGCGTATATCGAAAAACGAAAAGCAACGAACAACGAACGACTAATAATGACGCGTGGGACACGCGGTCGCCTCTGCATCGAAACGTCAATTAATCCCGCTACGATGCGAATCCAAGCGGAGAACTCGATAGGATTCGAGCGTGAAGCGTCTGGACAGCCGCTAGAGATGATCATTAATTTTTCTTTATTTTTTCACTTAAATAAATGTTTTCGTCCGCGTGTAACTACACTTTGTATATAACTTCGTCGCCTCGCTCCAGCTCCCGGTCGAAAAATCTACGCTAAGGACTAGGATAATATGATAAATTGAACTACACGCGATCAACAAGCCAGTCTAGTGTTTATAACAACTCTTTCGCGAGCGATTACTTTCGTCGAAGCTCGACCACGCACACTTTCACGATTCAGATCACACGAGATGTTCGTTCAACACGAACGCCAATACGCGTTCCCCATAGTTCCACACGAAGGACCAAACGGTTCGAAATGATCCCTTCGAAACGTTGGATCGATCTTCTTCGACGGGTGTACGGTAGCTTGATAAAAGAAAACGACGCCTCGCCTACGAAAAATGTCTCTGGGATCGAGGGGTTTTTGAAACGTCGATCCCGCGGCGAGTTAGAATGTTTATCGTGAACAGTCACGGATGGTAAAATTTCGCGGAATTTTCCCCTACGTCGCTAAAGTCGCCTAACTTAAAGGTAAGTGTAATACGAAAACGTACAAGCAAGATCTCTATTCGTATGAAGAAGGCGCAGTGAACATGGCCTCGAAAGAAAAACTGTCCCGAGAAATACCCTTCTATTCACTTCTGATTATCAGTAATAATCATCTTAAAAATTTTGCGATGATATTTTATTTTAAGGTTTCTTTTTTTATAAATATTTCTCAAAACTCTTTTCCTTTGTATTCAGCCCGAAAAACTTCGTTCACCACGTGTCTCGTACTCGTCGGCTATTACAATATATTTAATCGCTAGAACTGCATAAATACTCTGTCGTCGCTAAATAATATGCGTGTTGTAATGGATCGTTATCGACTATACTCGCCGGATTGTTAATCAAACGGCAGACGGAATCTTTACAAGTTACGACGTTAAGCGTCGTCTCGAGCGTGGACAGTTTAACAGACACTGTACCACGTCGAGTACCCTATAAAATCGTTATTTCTTCTGTCTAAACAATGGTTCAACCACGCGCAATCTCTTCCATCGTGTTTATGGTCGCGCTTCCATCGGTGTCTTTACGCTGCCGTGAAAAATTTTCGGAACGTTTACGGCCACGCGATGGGAACCGTATTATAAGCCTATATAGATCGCGTTCGATGGGACGATGCGTTGTTGTACCTCTCTCGTCCATTCGGATAGGATTATCGATACTTACAGTCGAACGGTACCTTATTTCTATATAGTTACTTTGGTATAGTCAGTTATATCACACTAAAATCCGCGGTGCCTTTGGGGAATCCCTACTCGGTGATTTGTGTTCAGAGTTCCGCCTGCAGAACCCTGCAATGAACGTTCGATGAGATGATGGAATTGTTAGTGGAATTTATGCTACTGTTCATAATGTTGCAACATTAACTGCTGTAAGAAACTATCGAGTTATAGGTGAACTGCAAACTCATGTATTTTTCACGAGCATTTTTATGAAGATTCAGACTTTTCTTGGGGGGTTATTTCTGTGAATCCTGGAGGGAAGAGGTATTTCTTGCTTATATAGTAAATTCTGAGTAGAAGGGCCATTTGTTCATTGTACAGTAAATCCAGAATGGGACATTTGTTTCTTATATTTTAAGGGACATTTCTGCCTTATACAGTAAATCCTCGATGAGTGTTCGAAGACTCCTCAGGATTTAGTACAGTGCTGATGAGCCTTCGAACACTCATCGAGGATTTACTGTATCGCGGATCTTGTTAGGTTGAAATTCAAAAAGTATTACCAATTCCGTATATTTTCTAATAACTGTATTAAAATAAGGGAAAACCATAAATGAAAGAAAAAATCAGATACCCGTATGAAAGTGTAACGATTATGGAAATAAAGTGAGTATGAATAAATTAAAAAAATATGCGAAGAAGTGTGTTCACAAATTAAGTGATCATAGTCGGCATGAAATACGTAAATCGTTTAATGCCCAGTTAACGGGTAATTAAATGTCGTGATTTCGTTAGAAAACTTTCTCACGGATGATACGTGCCGAGAGATTTTTGTTCTTTACTCGTGTGGACGTTATTAATAGATTTAATAGATCTATATAATTACCTGTCATTGCTTGGCGGAATTGTACCTGGCGAGTTTCAATTGCACCGGGTTCGAGACTTTCACGTGGACCGCGATATCCTCGACTGGTGCCTCACGGACGTCCTGGCCGCCGACCGCCACCACTCGGTCACCTTTGCAGATTTTCCCACTCTCCAGTGCGCTGCCACCTGGCAACTGGAACACACGCGTTTCACAATGTCGGAGAATTTTACGATGCTTGTCGTAGACATGGTTTTTCTATGCATGACTCGATAACGTATTGCCAGAGTTTCTCCAATTATCAAAAATGAAAATTTCTAATGCAATATTATTTGATGTACCAAAGAATAATTCACTATTTTTTGTTACCAAAGTAATGATTTATTCTTCGTTTTACTTTATTGGAGGATGGAATGAGATGAAGGACAAATGTGAATTTTTATGAGGTATTATCTTCAGTTCCTTGGGGACAAAAATAGAGTGGACCACATATTGATACATCTAGTAATTAACATGTTAAGATTAAAACTATATTGATAATTTCATGAAGTTTTGGTTTTAAAACGAAGTTGTACAGTTTAAAAGATTTTATATAAAAAAATGATGTTTCGCTTAAAAAATAGAAAAGAATGAAAATACAATTTACCAAGTCCGATACGTAAGCCCCTTTGCCACTCTTGTAGCCCGTCAAACAGAGGCCAGCTCCTTTGCCGGATTTCTTCTGCAGCTCGACTTCGATCTCTTCCTCCGCTTTCTCACGCCGATGGACGATCATCGTGATCTATGGATTCGAATTACATCCGTAAGAATTGCATCCTGAAATTTCTAAAACGAAACGGAAGAAAAACGAGTCACTCACGGTTCCCGCGACTTTCAGAACGGTCGCATGAGCTTTCTCGTGCTCGATTTCCTTGAAGCTGTTTCCGCACATGTCGATTATCTGATCACCTGACTGCAGGCGGCCATCTTTGCCGGCTGCGCCGTCTGGGAACACTTCGATGATGAAGACACCTTTCTGAAATGGAAAAAAAAGTCATCGTGAATCTTGCTTTTGATTTGCAGAAAATTAATTTTAATAAATGTTTAAAGTGATGACCATTAACTTTGACAGATGTTTGCATTAATCCCTTTATAGTAGTTACTTTATTATTGAAATCTTTAGATTCGTGGATTTTTCATAGTCAAGGTCAAATGAAGGTCATACTATTATAAGTCATTGGATTGGTCTTGATCCCAGCTATTACGCCACAATGTAAAAAATATGTAATCCCATTTAAACAAATCTGAAAAGTATTTGATGACATTCACATGACGCTACCGTGACGTCATCCGTCGTCATATTATTAATATGGGAATGGTAAATCATTTGACAAAAAATCAGATCTTACGCATGGAGTGTCGGATCCACCGGCTATAGTGAATCCAATGCCTTTATCTTTCTCTTTTTGGAATTCTATCGTTGTATCTTTCCCAACCGCGATCTTGCAGTCCTTCGGGTCCTGTGGTGGCTCGGGTTCTTTTGGTTTCTCTGGTTCCTTCGGTTTTTCTGTAACACCGCAAGAAATGCACAGTTCTATATACACTCCCCTTACTCTAAAATGTCATCTGCTTCGAATTCATCCAAAAAACACTCTTTTCCAAAATTAGATTTGAGCACACTGCGTGACAATTATTTTATTGACAGTCGTACCCAAATGCTAAGTATTTTTGTGCTGAACATATTTGAACTATATGGACAAAAATTTGTCTGATATGACTGTAACGTGTTAATGAGTCCAATGTTAATATAATTCCACTTGAATGTATGATTATCAGAATTTTAAATCGCTTTATATACCTTTTTCTACTTCAGGAATTATACCCTTTGCCCTGTCTTCCTCCTCTTTCGCGACTTTACTCTGATTTGGATTGCAGACCGTAAGTGTGACCACTCCTTCGGCTTTCTTCAAGAGACCCGTGGCCTAGAAACACAAAAAGACAGAAGAAAATATTAATTCGAGAAACATGAATCTGATTTTTCGCTGGTTTTTTGAGGTGAATACGATAAGACGGAATGGTCATATATTATTATGAATAATGGTGCTGTGCAATGTAATTTATAATGATTGTTTATTACCTCGTCGTAAGTTGAACCCAACAGGCAGTCCATATTCACAGCTAAGATCAGGTCACCCACTTGTAGGCCGGCCTGTAAAAATGAAAATGACGATTATCGATTCAGAAAAGTGCATTGTCTCTGCCGTATCTAATTATCGGCAAATGACAAGTGGGAACGATTGTGTCGCCAAGAGAACAATTACCTGCTCCGCGGCGCTGCCTTCTTGTATGTCGGAGATAAATATACCTTGGCCGACTTCCGCGTGTTTTCCTTCGATGATCATTATGCCCAATCCATATTGACTCTGAAACAATAAAATATACATTTAAGAATCTATTCGGACGGTAGAATATATTTGAACGGTATTCTATTCAGCGAAACTTGCCTTTTTCACTGGCACATTGCGAACACCTTTGTAGTGACTGTACATTTCCGACTGTACAGAAGTATCGTGCGTATGGGAAATAGATATTTCGTATATGAGAATAAATCATCGTGATAATTATTAGATTTGTCCATGGAGAATTAAGGTACGTGAAATTTTTAAAGATCGAACTTACGTCGTCCAGAGTTGGAGGGAACTGACTGATTGGTTTCACGGCAATGTCATCGATGGCTTTCGATCTCCTGTCGATTTATTGTTATGTTTCTTGTTATGAAATATGGGAGGATTATAACAATTTATCGAAAAAATTATATACGTTACCGTACGATAACGACTTTGAAGCAGGTACTGGCCATTCCTTTGATCATGGCGGACGCATTCAGGTGGCACCTTCCTTGCAGAACACAGCCGTTTACCTGAAAATATTAAAAGTACACGGATATTTTACGGCAGAATGTTATTCTATGACACAATTTTTACAAAATCTAGAAGTACCAAAAATGAAGTTAAGTATATTTGTGAAGACAATTCATTGAAATATATAATTCATTTTGGGTACCTTTCGGACATCTTAATTTACATACTCACGTATATAATAACTCTTTCCATTCATCTTCTGTGTTCAATTAATCGATTTTCAACGGATTCGTTCGAAACAGTATACAATGTAGTGCAATAAGAAAAGTATATAAATGGTATGCCAATGTTAAATACAAAGAACTAGATAGAAATAATATATCCCAATTAAATATAAAAAATATATACATATACAAATACTACATTAGTATTAAATGCACAAAATTATATAGAAATAATATATCCGAATTAACTATAAATAAAATACATGTATGCAACGAATGGCTAAAGATGTGAATAAATGGGCTGACAAAACGTCTAAATAAACCACGGCGTTAAGTACACCAAACGTAACGTACACAAGACAAATATAATTCAGAAGGTCGAACAAATCGAGGCGACTTCATGAATAACTTCAACGGCTCCCTGGTCCGAAATCAATATCGGGGAGTGGATAGTAGGTTCGCACCCAATTAAGTACCTTTTCGTCGCGCGGAAAGCCACCGTTGAATATCGATTATTACGTCGCCGAACAGGACACCAATGGTGGAAAGACGTTAACGGAGGCCGAAAAAGGATAAAGTAAAATGGCGGTTGTCTCACCTCGAGTATCTCGTCACCGACCATCAGCTCGCCTCCTTTGTGAGCCGAGCCCTTCGGATTAAGGCCACAAACGAACACCGCCATCCGATTTCTGTCTCTATGCCCGGCTAGGGAGATCCCCAAGCCACGCCTGTCCTTCTCCACCTTGACTAATAGCACTTTGTTGCCAAGCCCGTGATACTTCTTTTGAACTTTCACTGAAAAACAAAATGGTGCTCTCTGTCAGGTCTGTTTGCATGCACGGGGATCAGCAAACATGAATTCGTAATTCATGAATGAGAGTGGTCATGGAGAATCGTTAATTCTATGTCTATTTGGAGAACCCATTGTATTGTTTAGGAGGTGGTATTTATTGTAACGATATAGTTTCGTTTAACCCCGTCCGATAAAAAATTCAGGGGGATTACGTAGTGTTAAATACAATTACAAAATTTATGCGTGAAATTAATATCGCAGTACAATTTAAAACAGACCCAACAACTATTATCTAAACGCATATATTTTCGACGATTTTAACGTAATAACGTTATGTCTGGCTATGTAAGACCCTTTTCACTGTGACAGTCGACGTGCTAAAGTGGAAAACAAAATCAATATTTTCAAATTATTATTATTATTTAAAAGTATCAAATAACTTACTGTTCGTGTAACCGAACTCGTCCTCCTGTTCAGGATCAGCCTCGATCTCCGCTTTCGATCGTTTCACATTTCCTGCGCTTTTCCTCGAGATCTGCAACGAATCATTTCAACGTGTTCGAAATTTGTGTCCGTGGAACCTCAAATCTTACTGACAAATTACAAGATTTCTTTTATTTTTTTGCTCAATTACCTCCATGCCAGCTTTCGTGTAAATGTTACCCTCGAGATCCCTCGTGTCCTCCTCGGAACTCTCGTCCGAAGAATACTTCCGTCTGGGTGGTTCCGGCTTCGAAACATTATCTTCTTTCTCCTCGCTCACTTCACGCAGTATCCCCGGATTAGAAGGCGGTGACGGCGCCTTCTTCCGAATTGACTTCTTCATGGAGGATCTGGGAAATTAATCGTCACGTGGAGGGTTCGACGGTGGGCAACGAATCAGGCGAATATAAAAGCCATGTTTGTCGTCGATTTGTTTACCTTCGCGCGCTGGATCCCGCGCCATCTGATGCTCTTGTGCTCTGCCTGCGAAAATCCGACCTCGAACCACTCTGCTTCTCCTCGTCCCCCGCTGCTCCCTAAGGAAATTGAGACAACAAGTCTTAGTTTCGTCTGTAAACAACGATCTGAATTATAGAAATTGTTCCTCGTGTTTGTGGTCTACAATGATCAGGATTCTATTAGAGAAACTACAAGGTAATCCAGAGTCTAACTATTCAAAGAGTTCAAGAATTCAACCGCCAAAAAACACAGACACCAATAATTTTTTCTACGCTAACAACTAAAGAACTGCAAATTTTGAGTTACGGTATTGTCGTAAAAAAATTAACGACATACATTTCGCTGTCCATGGCAATACGAAGCAACAATAGTGTCCCAATGGACGATTTTCGCGTAAACTTTGAACAGTGTCTGCTCCATTTTGGATCTCCGCGACGCTGAAACGTCGGGGATCGCGTTCATCCTCCGTAGATCTGGTATCTGGTTTGCGCAACAACTATAGCCGGTGTAAACTTAGAATTCACTATCAATCGAATATAATCAGGTGCGTGTAGTGGTTGCACGAGGGACGCCCGATGTATTAATTCCGCGAAACGATCGAGACACGCGCGCGCAATTTTCTAAAATTGGTAGCGGCTGCCGCGTAAGTGTTCCGGATCGTAAATCCAAGGATCCAGGATGGATCGAGGTGATCCGAGGGGATAGAGTCTTGAGTGGCGCGACGAGACCGACTGACAGAATCAGGAGAGAGATCCACAAGAGGATCTCCTCCCCCGCTAACCCTCCAGGTCACGGGTTCCCAATCTGAGGATCGCAAAATATGTTCTCGAGGGTTGTCGAAGTTCTTTTTGGTTGCAATTATACAGGGTGTTTGAGCTAATTTCATCACTTCGAATAAGTACTTAACGGTATACTTTACTTTACAAGTAAAATTACTTAATACGGACTTACTATTTGGAAATTTTGAATTTATTCATGAAAATTTTTAGGCGTGGAACTTACATGACATCAAAGGGCACATCTTATGAGGTACGTATTTTTTTTGTGGGTGGAGGCAGTTCAGATATTTTAATGTCGACGTTATGTGGGTATTATTTTAGGTTGGGAAACACTGTTCCAAGTCATAACAATTGATTCCGTCCGTGCGAATTAATTTACATCGAACACAATCGAATATTCCCGCATGCTCGCCTCCTTCCACCCTCTCGCCGTCGTTCGATCAAGACCTCCCCACCAAGTTTCTTGCGAACGATCGCCGTGAGAATCGAATCCCATTAGCTAATTATAATTCGATCGGCGAGGCTCCATTTCGCGACGATCTTCGGTCTAGCCTCTTTGTCGATGGATTCGTCTTTGGTGTTTGGTAGCGTTGAGGATTGGATTGATTGGTGGTTTAATGATTTTAGTACACTGTAGCATTGATAATTGGAAGGAAGTGATCGTTTCATGCGAGAAAGTGAGTACTGGTTATTGTTAATTATAGTGTGTTAACCCTCTAACGCCCCGACCCTTAACTCGTCATTTCCAAATTATAAAAAGAAAAAAAATGAAAGAGGAAAAAGTCTCTTATTTTTTCTAATATTTACTATTTGCAAGCACCATACGTGGACGTGCAATTTAAGTATGTTCGATACTAAAACCAAATATTTGAAAACATGATAGCTATTAAAATAGAATCTTCATTTCGGGTCACATAGACCCGAGGAGAACAACAGGATTAAGTTGGTATTGTTGTTTCATTTTATTTTATCAACAAAGACGTCAACTTTTGGTAGAAAAATGAGTTATCGAAAACGAGGAGAATCATCGACTGCTTCTGTAAACACCTAATAAATTCAAAGGAGAGACTTTGACTGAAATATGTAAAATAATATTATGTTTTAATCTATCACGAATCTACTGACAGACATAAACTATTAACCATTATAACTCTATCAACGTCAAACTTCACGACACTATGGTCACTATTTTCCTATCACGACAAGCTAATATTATTATACTAGTAACTTATCCTAGTGAAATCTTCTCCCAGACTCAACCCAATAATAAGCACAACAGGCATCGAATATATTCAAATATAATAATATGCATCGATTCATATTGCAACACAGACAAATATCTTCAAAGACACAATTTTTGATGATACTGATAGACGGAACGGAATCTATTTCAGATAGATTCGTGTAGGTAAGAGAAAGCAGCGACTGTTTGGACTAAAGGAAACGACCCACCTGTGTCACTTCCGGCGTGGTGGACCTGACCGGAGAGACAGAAGACGTGTTCTGGCGTTGGGTAGTAGAGGCCCCAGACGCGGGCAACCGACTTCTGGTGCTCTGCCTTCTTCCTGGTCTTCCACTGTCTTCGCTCTGGCCGCCTTCGTTCTCGTTCTGGGAATTCAAAACGTTCCATTGTCATCCCAACGTTTTAAAGTATGGCCAGATCTATTCCCATGGTTCCACAGAAAATATTGCACGTTACCGATACTTCCGTTAAATCAATACATCGATCCACCATTTTTCTTCAAAAGATACAGAAGTACAATACTAAGTAATAAGGTAACAGAACTTGTGCAACATTTTCTGTCGGACCAAACACTCGAGGAAACGCACTGTACGCGACGACTGCCCGAGGAAAAAGAAAATGGACGCCGTCCAGCGCGTCGGGGAAGAACCTTTTCGGATTAAATTACCGCGGCCGCGAGCGGATGAAGCGTGTTCGTTCGGCGGATTGTTGAATTGTTGCCAGAATAACTGTAATTTAACAGCGTGACGCGTTTCAATTCCGCGGGCATCGACGATAACACAGTGAGTCTCCCCCGCCAAGACGCCGCCGCGCCGCAGCTTGGAACGTGATTAATATGTGTTCTGCTGAGACCGAGGGGGTTCGCACGAGACTGGCTACGCATTCCACTGACTGGGGCTCAAGGATCTTGGACGGATCGTTGCTTGTGTGTTCCCGTCGAGAAACGTGCAGTTTCGCCGTCAAGTTTCACCCTCTGTCGGCGGAGCTGAACGTCGAACTTCGGTAAAAAGAAAAAGTGAACTATCACATTAGAAAACTTTCGATAACGTGAATGTGGAATCTCAATCAAAAGAGTGAAATGAATTAATTAAATTAGAAACCACTGTAGTGTGAACATCGAACGTCGATCAAAACGAAAAAGTAACTAGAAACCACGATAACATAAATGTAGGATTTTACCTAAAAAAAGAAGAATGAATTTATTACATTGGCAACCACTATAGTGTGAACGTCGAACGTTAAGTAAAATCAAAAAGTCACTCGAAAGTATAATAATGTATTGTCAAAGCATAGCTAAAAGAATAAATAAAGTTCTCAGATTATAAATCACAATAACATTAACTTCGAACATTAACCAAAAGGAAACGAAATAATACTTTAAAAAGAAATCACGACATGGTCACTGATACGAAGTCTTCTTGGTGCCGCGGAAACGTTCTACCGGAAGTGCCGCAGCGCGTCCTTCCCCCCCAAGAGGGTGTATATCCGGTACAAGGAATGATACTCGCGGTCGTTTCACGTAGATTCTTACGTAACGTACTACGAACGAGACGCATTTGCGCCCGAAGAGCCGATGCATCGCGGTTCGCTCTTGAGAGGCACACACAGCACACGGTGTGTGCCAGGGAACGTCTACCGGCCGGTTTCGTGTATGAAACTGCGGGTGCCGACATATCAGAAGGGAGAGAGAGACAGAGAAGGTGGATGGTGTTGAATCAGAGGGGGGTCCCGGAGGGCAGGTATGGAAGGGGCGCGGCGGTCCATGGTGTCGATGATGGACGCCTCGTTGCAACGACGTGATCCACACTTTCCGTCAAACCGCACAACCCCCAACCCCCTCCCAGGGCGCCGGATTGTCAATCGGACATCCCCGGATCCGTGGGTCTCGTCGTCGATTTTTTTTTTATCTCACTCACTCTCCCTTTGCTTTGTCTCTCATCACCCTATGTGTGTGTTTTCATGACCTGCTTTGTCGGGATCTTCACCGAGAAGGGGGATGAATTGGAATTAAATCGAGCCGGTTCGGATGTTTGGATTAACCCCTTACCTTACGATTTTTTTGACGACTGTACTTTCAAGCATTACTTTATCGTTTATAATTTTCCAGATACAAAAGGAATTTTATTCTTAGGGCAAGTGTATCATTTACATTAAATATTAATGGTAAATCTAAATGTTTAAAGTTGATGTTTTAAGTTTAACAAGTTTTTTTTACATTCACGAGAAAATGCAAGGACTCTAATAGAATAACAACATATTCTTTTTTAACCCTAATCTGAGGGTAATAGGCTTTTTATTTATGAGCATTGAAACTGAAAGTCTATTAATAGGCTACCGGTCAGTAAAGTGTTAATAAACTACAATAATAAAAATATACACTTCGTATGTTATAGCAAATATTCTCATGTACCCAAATCAAAATGAAATTGACTACCACGTTTCAAATCTCAAGAATCTTTTTACAGTCCTAACAAGATTTTCCAAAGAAAAAAACCTTTCAAGTACACAAAAATATTCAAAAGAAAAAACCACCGTGTATTCCTGGTTCAGAATCCCCACAATTTACACGTACGCAATCAGTTTCGCGAGATTCGTCGAAACAACGCACCCACCGTCCGTAAACAGCAATTTTTTTTTTTTCGAACTCTCTCAAAAATCTCGATCTCGTTTCCCCGGCAAAAAGTCCCGTCTCCGAGCTTTTTATCGGTGGACTTTTTCCCGGAATCCAGCATTTTACGGTTTATGAAATTTGTCCCCGGTGACAAAGGTATCTTTCCCTTCGATCGCGCGCGCGCGCGCGCCCCCTTCCCCTACGTTCATCGATGCACACACGATCCCCCAAGCGTATATACCAGTTTGTTCTGATTTCCACGATTCTCATTCTGTTTCTGCCTTTCACACTGTTTTTTCCCTCCTGTCAACCCCCCTCGTCAACGGGTTTATTGGAAAGTTCGACCTCGATGCATCCTACATACACACATAAGGTACCGTTCCCCGATAATGGCTGTGTCTCTACGTGTCCCTCTTTCTCTCTCTCTCTCTCTCTCTCTCTCTCTCTCTCTCTCTCTCTCTGTTCGCTATTCGTTCTTTTTTACCCATCCCGCTCAACTACCCTCTTCTGCATTTTTTTTTGCGTTCTCTCCCTCTGCACCATTTCGCGTTCTCTTTTTAATTTCATACACGATCCCCGACGTGCCCCTCGATCGAATCGATTGAAATTGAGAGAACTCGCGCGGACCCGTATGTTCCGAGGGTAATTTCTCGCCACGAACTGAAATTAATCATTGTTTTTTATTTTTTTTTCGAAGTTATCGCGAATGTCGTATTTTTCGGGAATTGTGAACAGGTGGATTTATGTTGCTTTGATTTGGTTCTGAGATTAGAACTTCCGTTTGGCATTTAGGTGTATGATGAAGTAATGGTCGTTTTTCAGTTGGAAATATTTATGGAGTATTTAAAATGCTTCCAACATCCCCTATTTTTGTGCAATAACAGGAACTCACGTGCAATGAATATTACACTTCTGTGTGCGCCTGATATTTTGTGACAGTTTTTTTTAGATAGAATCACTGATTTTTCGAGTTCTATTTAGAATTGAATTTTGAAAGTAATTCGTTTCGAATAAATGATTCATGTAATTCATTTTTTTTTTTATTTATCTTCCATCTTGGGGATCACTGTAAAAATAATTCTTCGGAATAAATATTTCAGTGATCACGACGATATTGTATTTTTCTTCGAACTTTCAGCTCAACTTTACTCCCTTACTTAGACGAATATCCCTTCTAAATTATGCCAATTACATTTAAAATTTCCATTTTACAATAACTTCTTCCATTTTTGATTTTTTCCATTTGGAACTCGTGTTTCCATTAAAAAATTGTCGTCATTAAAATTAACGTCCTGCTGTCCGCAAGAACAACTACAGAATCCGTTTCTTTGTGAATAATGTATGTTTGTGTCATCAACGATGGAACTTTTCACGCAGCCCGAACGTAACCATAATAATATAAAAACGAAACGAGGAAAGCCAGAGGAGAGACTCGAGGACGAAGCGAGGATGTGTGTTCAAGGATGTTTCGCGTCGAGCTAATCTGACTTTGTAAGAAGCGAGATTTCTCAAGATATCGCACGATCATAACAAATATACGAGCGTGCCTCAAGGGTGTGCTTTATTGTTCGATTCGAAGGGTTGGCGGAAGATGTGAAAATGTCAGTGACGGGTTGAGGACGGGGAACAGATAAAGTTTTAATGTGTTAATCGATATGCTGATAGCAAAGTGTTACGACATAGTAAAAAAAACTATATTTGGTATTTAATATATTTACATCACCCTTAAATTCTTTTTAAATAATAATGCCTTATGAATTCATCGCGACTTTTATAACACTACTAAACTGTTTTGAAAAATACCTGAGACATAAATTCAATGTGATCTTTAAAATCTGAAACATTCATGTAAATTTCAAAATGTATAGAAATCATTTGAATGACTTCCAAATTAGAAATAAATATCATTTCAACTTGAAAGTATTTCAAAATGATGTCCTCTTAATTGAATCTGAAAGCTTCAAAATATGAAAGAATTTTTAGTGATTAAATTATTTCTAGTGTTATAGAAAAATTATTCTAAATGTCGAGAGGTACTTGAATGTAATTGAAACCTATAGGATTAAGCTAGAACAAGTGCAAAGCTGCGACATCTTTGCCGCAGCACGTGACACTGTCACTCGAGACATTTGTCCTTCCGTTATCGCGGAACTTTGACACGGTATCTCAGAAGTTTTATATGTTCCAACGAGGAGTAAAACTTTCGGAACGTTTTTAATAAAATGTAGCGATAGACTGAAAAATTGTTGTCTGAAAGTTTGAGTATAATGGCAAGAAGTTTTGTTTTCATGTACGTACGTAGAGTGATGAAACTACTTATCTTTTGTATTTTTGATCGACAGAAATTTTAATTACTTAATTATCAATTATAAAATATGTCGAGCTGAAATTAAAACAAAAATAAATTTAAACATGAGCAGTACCTACAAGTTTACTGTTCCCGTTTCAGAAAAAATATAGAACATGACAATAAAGGTCTAAATAGAATTAACTATATTAACTACAAACTACTACTTTAGTTACATCAAAAATAAAAAATGGATCTAAGGTAAAACGATTATTGAGTAGTTGTGTAAGTTCTGTTAACTACAACTCTGACAACAATTTCAAATTCTGCAGGTATTCCAACAAGGATCAATTAACACACAGGGAAACAATAAAGATATTCTGCCCTCCGGTCCAAAAAAGTGGAACTGCCGTCAAACTAAAAACACCAATGTTCAATTAATTTACTGCCAAATTTCTCTTTCCCCTCTAATCCAATATCAACAGAATTTCGTCACAACGCAAAAATATATTTTACTTCATTCATCCTCTCTAAATACTCCCAGCATTCACTCAAACACAATAAAACCAACTTACTATAAAACACAAATCAAACACGCATGAATACCATGCAATTCTATTACAGCAAAATTTGCACACACTATATCTCCTATTTTTCATAATAACTCTAAAATAATCCAAACTAAATACCAACACCATCAAAAAAGTTTACATTTCCATGTTACTGTTCAAATTAATTTGCTAGTCGATTATAATAAGGTTCCACTAGTTTGTCGCCCAAGCGTTGACTGGAGGAACAAGAAGTAACTAATTCACCGGTAATAAGTTCGAAATGTGGCCAAATCGGAGGGAATGGGAGAGAAGGTGGGAGGGGGAGAGGGTTGAAGGGGAGCACATCGATATTCCTGGCCGTGGCGAGGTCTCACCAGGTGCACCAGAGACTGGACGAGAAGACAGACGGGATTTCCGGATGCTTGTATGACCTCAACTGCCCGCTCGTGCGTGCTGTGTCGCAGATCCACGCCATCGACCTCGATTATCCGGTCGCCGACCTGCAAGCAAACCGCGAACAGAAAACATGCGTATTAAATATTTCAATTTCGCCGTGTTTACATTGCGATTCTCGGCTTCGTTCGCGAGCAATTCCAACGACACGCAGGATGTCAATGATGATCGTGATGGAACCGGAAACAGGGTGATTCTACGTGCAAAAATAAGTTGAAAATGTCGAGTAAAATTGTTTCGTACGATGCTTTGTTTCAAGGATAATCAATTTTTAAAATTCATTACAGAGGTACTAACAGTAAGTAGAAACAGAATGTAATGAACAGACGCGTTAGCCAAGTCCTATTCAATTACACACGTATCCAGCAGATGTTCAAATTCGATTATCTCGAAAGCGAAGCACCATACGAAAAATTGAATTTTATATATTCGACTTATTGTTTCGTGTGGAATTAGTTTCCTTCAGGTTGTACCACCCGTTCAAAAATACCGTACATAGTGACAATAGTGGTCTGTTGAATCGAAAATGAAGAATAAATTTCGTATAATATAATAGTAAACTGTTTCTTTCGTTTTGTACATGATTATACTCCGTTTGAAATTGAATCCGACATTATTATATTCTTGTATTAAACTCGAATATCATTACGTTACCTTCAATTCGCCGGTCCTTCCGGCCGGACTGTTCGGTAGAACGTTCTTTATGAATATCCCAGATATATTCTGGGATTTACTAGAACCGCCATTATGCAGATCGACCTAAAACATATATTTCAAATCGTGTGATCCGATTGTTGAACGTAATGCAAATTAGATTAGACTTCGTAACAATCGAAGTTCCAGTCACGACATCTTATTTACAACATATTCAATTAATTATTAAACCATTTTCTATACGTAAGATAACAATAGTAATGGCACCAATAACGAATGAGTATCTTCCACAAAATAATCCCTTTTCATGCTACTGAAATTAATTAAAAAGTTATCTACTTTATAGTGGTAATAACTAACTTGTATTTCATTTCGAACTAATATCCAGTAAGAAAACTGAATTCAGAAGGTATTACGTTATTCGAAATATATTTTACAACAGAGACTACTTGTGATTTTACACGTTTGATATAACTTATTCCAAACAACCTCAAAGTAGAAGAATTAACAGCGACAATTCGGTTACGTTGCACAGTCACAGTGTCGACTTTCGTGTCTTGAAGCCATTCGGTACATTAATGCACTTATACCAATGCAACTTTCTGCTTCATGTATAGCCTGTCTCACTCGACTGAAATTATCAACCAATGCCATCAACGTGGGCCCATTAGCTGTTCGGTACACGACGTAATTAAGCGTGCAATTAAGAAATGCTTGTAGAACTAGTCTCCATGATTCGTATTGATATGTACTTTCCTCAACAATTCGTGGAGAATTATTAAAAACATTGGTAAAATCGTGCCAGAAAAAACAACAACAGAAATTACAATACAGAATAATTCTCCAAAAAACGTATCTCCATTTTTTAATAAATCAATACTATCATAATCACAAGAAACCGCTGTTTGTTTAAACAAAACAACAATATTAAATCCCTGTTACTCGATTACCCCCCGGATCGCCACAAAACAGCTCGAAAAGACCCCGTCCCCGTTCACAAAGCATAACTAAAGGCAACGCGGTCTATGCCATTGGCGTAACTAGAATTTTGTTCTGGGAGGGGGCCAGGTCCCCTGACTTTCGCCCATAACACTGCCCATCAGGCACCTGTATGTAATTTGATTGATTACCTTTCAATTGATGTTGCAGGATTATTGCTTAAGTAGAATGTAAAAATTAAATAGCTTAATTCTAATACAATTTCACTTAATACTTTAACGTAATGAGGATAGTACCTATTGTATTTTTTGTACTTAGCTAGATTGCGTATTGCATATCGACCCATGTATTTATTTTTTATAACATAAGATTTTACCAACTGACGAATGATTTCTTTTTTTATATATATTTCCATAACTTCTGTACAGGAGGGCCAGTCTGTATTCTATGAGGGCCAGGCCCACCCTGGCCCCTGCCTAGTTACGCCAATGCTCTATGCTCTTATTTTTAACTACACACAATGTAGGCGCGTGTTGGGTTACGAACCTTTCCGCCGACGATGCTCAGACCCAGACTGGTCTTCGGCTCCCGGTAGATCTGGACCAGCCTCTCCGGTCCCCAGTGTTTCGACCAGTTGACGTTCCCGTCGTGGTCCCGTTGCGTGACCGTCATGACGATGGGTTCCTCGACGAATGCAACCGTCGGGACCTTGTACGGCGAGCCACAAACAGAAGACGCTGTGCTTTCGGTCTTCAACGACACGGAGCTGATTGGTCTGCCCTGTAACCGCGTCTGAAACCCTCCACCGACGTATTCAGCCTCTAGAATCTCATCATCGCTGCACTGGACTGCTTTCGACTCCTGATAGGTCTGTACCTCAGCCTCTTTCCTGGGACTACGCGATAGCCTCTCCTGGCTAGGCGATCCAGCACCGCTTGTAGACTTACCGGGGCTGGTCGAAATATCCTCTGGAATACACTGTATACTCTTAGACTCCTTCACCTGAGTTCTATCCGACCTGGACGGGCTATCGAAGCTGTCACCAATATCAGGAATCCTCGATAGGCTACCTAGATCGTCCAACGAACACTGAACGCTCTTGCTCTCCCCTTGAGTTTGCGTCTGAACCTCTTTTCTCGGGCTCTGATAGTACCTGATCACGCGCAGAGGACTGTCTTTAGAGATCTCCGAGGGACAGACACTTTGCTCGGGACTGCACTGCGTGCTCTTGGTCTCCTGTTCGGTCTGGGTCTCAGCGTCTTGCTTCTCCTTGGGCGAGTACTGGGTCTCCTTGAAGCTACACTCGACGACTTCTTCGATCCCTTTATCTGGCCAACTATCCGGTACGGGTCTCAATATGTCCACCAACGAGGTCGAGAGTGATCCGTGCAACAGATGATCCGACTGGCTCTCGAGGGTTTGACTTTGGTACTCCAGAGAGTGTTCCTTGCTGATCAACGTGTCCTCCTCGAGCTTGGACGGGACGATTTCCTCCAGCAGCGGCCGCTTCTGCTGCCAGAGGATCCTGTCATAATCACGAGCTCGATCCTCCGGATCACTTCGATCCTCCTGCTGGCTCTCGAGCCTCTTCCGGTCCTGTCCACTATCCTCGAAGGCCTCGAGGATCCTACTCGATGACGGTTCCTCGACCTTATCCTCCGATCGACTCGGGCTGACACCTCCTTCTGGCTTCTCGGGGCTGCGTGGAATATAGGAAATAACGTGTTCAGAGAGAGAAAAAAAACCTGGCTTGGCAACGAGGCGAAATTGTGACAGAGGCGGTAGATTTTAATGAAACGAGTGGAAGTCGGTGCACGGTCTTAATGAGCGGCTCCGAGGGCTTCTTATTGGTAGTCCCGGGGAACGTTTAGACGGAATCCCGCTAAAGCGGCGAATGGAAAGGTCTTCCGCGGTGACCCATTAATTGCGGCGACGTTATGGTCGCTAGGCTCTCTTGCGCGCGTCCATTCGGAGACGTGGAGGTGGACAATACGGAATTACGTGTCGTTGATGACTCGATCATGGCGAAACTGTCGCAATTAGATTCTGGACGTCTATGCTAATTCCAGTTTTTGTAGAGCACTTCTAGATCAAATCTAACAAAACAATCAAAATTACGTGCTCGTAAATTGTTGTGGAAGTGATTGGAATCTTATAATTCCGTCGGGTTTCTTTTTTACTTCTGTCACGATATATACGGAACGAAATTAACCCGCTAACTACAGTGGACGTCTACTCTACTATTTTAGTCACAATGTTTGGTATATTTCCTTTTTGAACCTTCCTTAAATTACAGCGAAACATTAGAAAAAGGGTTTTAGTGCGACTATTAATTCGTTATTTATCGTGAGCAAACACATTGTTTATACAAAAAGAACATTTTTCGAAATGTTTCAAATAGTCCGAAAATGACTATTGGTTTTTGATTTTTTTTTTTAAGTTTCGTACAAGATACCAAAAAGATTCAGTGAGCGGGTTAATTGATTTCGTGAATTGGAGAATTTATTTAGCTAAATGTGTGATAAAAATAGCATTCATGTTATATTGTTGTTTTTAATTTTTGTATCATTGTCGCATATAATTGTTTTTTCTTAATTTATATGAGCTTTAACGGTGAGTCAAAGCCACAATTTTGGAACGTCCTGTACAAAGTCGACAAGCTTTTAGCCGGTCCCATGGATGCACACTCGACCATTGTCAGTGCGTCGTATTGTATAATAAATCACCGACAAAAGAGCCCGTGCCTTATCTCTAATTCTCCGTCACAACGTCTTTCTAGGACTTCGAGCAGCTGGCTCACAATGAATAAGACTACGTAACGCTATCGACACACGTGTATTTGGTTGCGTCGTTTGTATCGTGTACCATTCCCGTAGTATCAGTTAACCACAATCAAATAAATATTAATATACAAAGTAAATTAAAATTAAAACATCGTTGATTTTCAGGACAACTATTTTTTAGTTGCCTTTTATGCAGACTAGATATTTCCAAATATAATAACCTAATTTATTGCAAAATACCTTAATTGTGATATCCATAAAAATGAATATTGAATTCAAATAGGAATGAAATAATTAGAATGTGATTAAATCTGAATTATTACCTTCTTGTAATAATAATTTCCTGTTCACTATTTCAGACATATCGATAATCGATGCACAAATGAGCATTAAATAGCCCCCAATTCACGTCATACAAAGGAACCATTTGTCTTTTCAGAAATTCTACGAAACCGTGTCACCATCAAAATATTATGGAAGTGCAGCCAACAAAGCAGAGATATATGTACTGTCCATGATAATCAACCAAAACCGAGCGACAAAGCCGACCACAAAGCACATCCGAGAACCGGAAAAAGAACGCGTTTACGAAGGTTCTCCTGCGGCTTTTCGTTATCCAATCGACACTCCGATCGATTGCATTTTCCAGCGTGACATAAAATTCAACTTTTCGATGCAAATTTCCCCCCGTACTTAAAAATAAAAAAAAAGAAACAAAAATGGAAATATAATCAACGAGGAAAATCAGGGAAAAGTAGAGAGAATATTTGATTAATAAGACATGCTGCCATACGAATATAAAATCTAAATTTTCTATGCAAATTTATGTCACATTGTTGAATAAGGGAAAAGACAAAATTGGGTGAAACATAAGACACGGAACGAATTTTAAATTTCATGTCAGATCTAACTTTTTTATGCACATTTGGTCGTAACGCAGAAGAGAAAAACGAAACAGAAAAACAGAGGAAAAGCAATGGAATAAGGAGACAAAATGTAAGGTCGACACAAACTAACTCACTGCAGAAGACTGGGTACATCTGGAACGCCAAATGTAAATAAAAAATATAAACACCGAGGAAAGGAAAAAGAGGACTACGAATTTAGTAAATCTGATCATTTCACGATACCTTTCACAATTAAAAAAAAAACTTACACTGGTTGTTGAAACAGTTCGATTGACTTAAGCAAACGGATCAACGCCGTAATTTTCGTTGCACTGTAAAAACAACCGACGAAATTCTATGTATTGGAATTTTATAGCAGAGATAACGGTAACCTTCACATGTTCAAGTATCCATTTACTGTCAACTGCCCTAAAAATAAAGAAAACCAGAGCACAGACGACACAACGGGATAAGAACTTCCAATAGAAAATGAGGGTGACTCTGGAAAATCAGATCCACCTCTCCCCACGCGAATTACCCCAACCCCTCAATCGAATAAACAAGATACGTATCAGGAGGAATATCAAAAAAAGGGAGTAATAATTCACGATAATAAAAACGAATAGGTAACACTAAAATCTTATATCCACTTCTTCCACACGAATCACTACCATCTCCAAACAATGAAAACAAGAGGCACACCAGGAAAAAATGGAAAAGATGGAACAATAACTCGCGATAGAAAAAGGGACTAGTTTTCTAAAACAAAATCTATTTATCATCCGTGAATCGCCAGCGTATCCAAAACAATGAAACGAAAACACACATCACAAAGAAAACAAAAAACTTTAAATCAAAAATCAGATTACTAAGATTTTCGATCTCTCAAAAACGATATAATACTTTTCCTCGCGAATTCACCACCATGTCCCAAAAACAAATCTTAAAAAAACCACGTACCAGGTATCACACTTCGATAACACCGACTCCCGAGCGAAACAAAAAAAACACACACACACACACACACACACACACACACAAGATATACACCTCTCGCGTTCCGCTACGAAGCCAAGGTGTTCACTGGCGTGTCTCTGGGCGGTCGTGCGTCACTGCAAACTGGCTTACTCTGATCTAATAAACACAACACACTCCGTTCCGCGTGTACACGAAAAGCGTGGCGCTGGCCGCGTTCACGTGCACCCGCTCACGTACACTCGCGCCCCAACCATCCCCAGTAGCGCACCTGAAAAACACAATGAACACTAGCTACATAACCACATGTATCCTCCCATATATCTTCTTTTTCTTCCTCCCTATTGGGAACGAAGAACACCGCGATACCGGCTCCGAATCACGACTAATCGCGACCAACCACCTCCAGCAACGTTCTCCTCCTATTGCACACATATACAAACACGAACACCGGTATACACGCACAACAACCACTATCTTCATGTATACACACGTGTTAGTAAAGCAAATCCACGCGAGTACGAGTGGTTAGGAAGGCTTTGGAACGGTCCGTGTGGGAGTAAGTACCGCGCCGAGCTTCGTTGCGGCAAAGCTTTCCGTCTCTATTCCTTTCTTGCCACTAGTTCCGTCCTTGTCTTGTTTTAGACACACGGTATACACTTCTCTCCGTCCAACGACACCGGTTTACGCGGTTACCGTTGCGTCTGTCCTTCTCTAGACCGTCCCGCATCGGATTTGCTGTCCCACTCCGACTCCTACCACCACCACCCTTTCCACGGCTCGACCGCCCGCCTCCTTATCTTTTATCGTCGCTCTATTCGTCTCCCGGCTGTGCACTTTTCTATATTTATATTCGTGTTCGGCTTCCCTTCCGGCCACGCTCCCACTACTTTTCTGTCCCTTTAACCCAATTCGCCGACCGTCTCTTCACCTGACCTAAACACGGACCAGGATGGATCCTCTCTCTCTCTCTCTCTCTCTTCCCATTTCGTTTCTGTGTATACAGGGTGAAACAAATAAAGGGTTCGTCGAAGGTTTGTGTATTTTTAATGTAAGTTTTATTACAAAATTCGTCCCCCCACCCCCCGTTTTTCAATTAAAAGAGTCCTAGAAGGGTTGGTTGTCCCGTGCCCTAAAAATCTTGATGTATATACGTAAAATCTACAATCTATTAATAAGGAAACTTCGTTGCCCTGAAAATTCCAATTTTTTTTTAAACTCATAGGGGACATTGATAAAATCATCGAGCAATTTTACATTACTGCCTGATATCGCTTGTTCAGGGTGAAATCAAGAAATAAAAATTGAAAAAGAATTTTTGGCACACCAGGATTAACATGGCTTGGATACGTTGTAACTAATATGGCGTCGAACCACTTGAATAAAATCGTGTTTTTTTTTTATTGATTCGTGCATATCTGTGTATGGTGGTAGGAATGAAAAAAACGTTATTTCTGTGTTGTAATGGAACTTCGAACGATAGGATATTCGATCGACTCCGACGGGCTAACTTTATCGTTCGAATATCGAGTTACGAAAGGTCAGCCACCGAGGAATGCGAATCGTTTCAGCGGGCATCTTGCGAGCCTCTGCTGTACGGCTTCGTGTATTTTTGAAGCTTGGACTGTGCATGATAAAAGCCAGGAGAGGGAAGAAGAGGATGATAGCGGGCGGTGATCGATGCTTTCAGTCCGCGGAATATCGACGATTTCGGATATGCTTCGCGATTGTTGGAATGGGGGGAACGTCCTTTTCGATGAGAATCAGTAAATAGTAGAGTGGGTGCACCAGTAAATGACCACTTACCAGTGAATGAACATTATATATAATATTTGTATATGTAAAATTATATAATATATATCTGAACCCTTTGTTCATTCACTGGTGACATCCTTATTTGTTCTTGTTAATTTAATTAACGACATTTTTCCAATTTTTCAAATTGACATCTATAGGTATAGATATCAAGAAATCTAATTTTCATATGCAAAATATTTATTACTATTATTATTATTATTTAAAATTCGACTTTAATAATTACAAAATCTTTTAAGTGTTCATTTATTAGTGCATCTACCTTACTTCCATCTATATAAAAGATATTTAAAGAAACAAATAAAACGTCAGTGATATTGTATTGTACATTTCAGTAACAAAAATTCAGTAGGCTGAATGGTATTTATTAATGAATTTTATGCAGTATCTTTTATGTATAATGTTAGAATTGTAAATAAAAAGTGATCATACGTGTGGTAAGCCTGCAGAAGCCATAGAACGACGAAACGATAGGTCGACAGTAGCCGGAAGACAGATTTCGAAGTTGTTACAGTTATAAAACGATACGTAAGTATCGCGGTTTATGTGATTTTATACGTATGTAGTTTCGAGAATTCCCGAGTTGGATGACAGTTTCCCTAGAGATTTCTAAGATTTGCATAATCGATCTTCGAAACTCGCATTTCGAAATAAATTCTCGAATTATGTTACAAAGACTTCCATCACCTTACTCTATCTATAAGTGTTTTACCATTATATGTATATGTCTTCTCAATCTGTTCAATGTACCACAAAGAACCTAACCCAGACCATGCGAACACTATCCCTATCCATTTGGTGCCACGTGAAAATTTTTGCATTTCCCTCGATCGTCCGAAATATCCCAGTACAGACCGCGTGTTCGTTCCGTTTGTTGTTCCACGATTATACTGCCTGCCCGACAGGCAACGTTAAGAATAAAAATGCACGTCTCACAGCAATAAGGCGAGCCGTGAAACTGAGATGGGCAAATTCATTATCGCGATAAAGAATTTCGTAGACCAAATAAAAGATTAAAAAAAAAGGTACATCGGCATTTGTAATTAATTAAACGTAGAAATTACAATTTTCATAATAAAATAATACTTCTTCTCGAATGAGACACTTAACAAACAATTATTTAATTTCATTAAATGTTCAACATATTGACTACCACAGTGAAAAAGACCGTACGTAGCCAGACAGGCTTTATTTCGTTTTTTAAGTCATAAATCGTCGAAAATATATGCGTTTAAGAGGCTGTTGGTCTTGTTTTAAATTATGCTGCAATAAATGCTGAATTGATGTGCTTAAATCAAAATCTGGCATTATTCCAATGAAATTTTATTCGAATAGAAGTTCGAGACAAGTTTTACTCGAATAAAATTGTTCCAAACTCTGCCGTGAAATCAGACTCGACCACTATTCAAACGAAGTTTCAATAGAATGAAAGTTCGAAAAAAAAAATTTACCTAACTTCCGGTAAGATCGTTGGTGCTCACGTTTTCGTGGGCGGAAATGTTGGAAACGATTGATCGTTCGACGACGATTGAAACAGTGGCCTCCGAGACGTTCGAACCACCGGAAAGAGAAATAATTGATTACTCGTGCCTATTTCGGTTTCAATGATCGGCCCCGGCGAAAAAAAAAAACGAAAGTGTACGACCACACGATTTTCCGGTCGCGAAACATTCCGTGTGTTATTCCAGGCGACCCAGATCGCGCCGACCAATTGTTCGACGTTTCTCGGTGTTTCCAACGGGCCACACGCTCGGTTGTAATCCAGCCGGGGCCAGGCCAGACGGGAAACAACGTTGTTCATTAATCGGCATTCGAAGCCCCGACGCGGGGTAATTTAGATTACCGTGCGAGCAAAACGGGAATTTCGATCTAAGCGCGGCGACTTCTGTGCGCTTCGCTCGAATCGGGGCAACTCTTAATGTATTTAACCCTTCAACTGCGGGTATTTAGCCACGAGACTGGTCGTTCAAACGGAAATAAAATAGGTCGATAAGTGATGTGAATAAAAATAATAAATAGATAATAATAATAGTAGGGCAGACTGAGGTTAAAAGTAACAGGGCTTATAACTTTTTAGATGCCAGAGACAGCGCTATGATAATAAATCATCGATATAGCATTAATAGCTTCAATATATTAAACGTATCAGTAAATAATCTACTATGTTTGTTAATTATGTGCCGACAATACATGATTTTCGAAAATTATTAGATTGCGGCAATTTATGCAAATTCACCAAAAGCACTTCATTGCACTACGCACCTCTTAACGATCCTCTGTTCGCCCTCCTCAGGAACTCTCCTCTCCCTCTCCTCGTCCATCGTCTTCTTCCTCTCCGTCGCATTGCCCTCCACCAGAATCGTGAGTTCCGGTTGATCCGGAAGTGCGAGACTTCCGATTCTAAATCCCTCTCGATCCTTCTGCCTGGCCCTCAACAAACTACCTTTCTTCGATCCCTCGCTACCAGTTCTGCTCAGTTTCCTCTCCTTCCTCTTCTCCCCATCTGTCGTCTTCCCCGCCACCTCCGCAATATCAGGAACCTTGGACAAATCCAACAGAATCTCAGCCTTGATGTTCCTCTCGGATACCCTGTTCTCATCGTCCATTTCCTCGACCAAAGTGTTCTCCGACGTGGACTTCGCCAGGCTGACCAGCTGTAACTGCGAGGTGTCCACCCTTTCCGGCGAAGGTACCCGTCCACTTCTCACACGGATCGAGTCCAAGACCACTATCACTTCCGGTGGAGAGTGCACCTCTATCCTAGCTGGAGGCTCCTCGATTCGGCTGGCAGCTGCCTCTTCAGCGGTGATGATCCTGGCCTTGACCAACTGGACCTCTGGTAACATATCAGTGATCTGTTCGCTGGGCTCCTCGAAGTAGATCTCCTCGACGTTCTCCTGGATCCTGACCTCCTTCTTGGTGTCGTCCAACAGGGACTCTCTGGACGACTCCCTGGAGAACGTCCTCTTCCTCATTGAACTCCGCCGTTTAGTCACTGACACCTCTGTCTCTGGGGTCAAAACGGATTTGGAGACTTCGATGGCCACTGGAAGTCGATCACTGATCGTTAGTTTCTCTGACACTATCGTGGATGGTGTCTTCGTTGATTCTTCAGGAGTGTATTTCATTGCATCCTCTGATCTTTGGATGCTACTCGCCTGGACAGCTTCGGCTGGACGAGCTTTCTCTAACTCGTGTAAGCTGGATGGACGTACTCGTTGCTCCTTTGTATCCTGAGGGGACTGGACGATGATTGGATCCTGGATAGCGTACTCGGAGTAGCTCAGACCACTGTGCTTCGACAGGAACTCGTTGACTCGTTCGATACACTCTTGCTCTTTGAGACTTTTCCTGTGCTCCTTCGACATCGGGATGTACTCTAGGTCCATTCTCTTCGATTCTTCGAGTTCGAGTGTGTCGAGGCTTCTGGTGGAAGCTTCAACAATCTCGTCGATCGTCTTTCTTACACTTCTATGCTCAAGATCAGAGTGATGTTTCTTGAATATCTTCTTATTGGCACTTTTCTCAGTCTCCTCTTGTTTGACCAAAGTCTCCCTGGATGTGGACATCCTCTCCACCGAGTCCATACGCCTCAGTTCTCTTCTCCTCTCCTGATCAGGTCGCTTCTGGACAGATGATGCTTCCGGTTCAGGCACTTTATCGGTCGGTCTCTCATCCCCCGACGTGTCCGCCTTTAATTTCACCTTTGGCGCCACTTTTTCCTCCCCCGTCGTGACGTCGTGGGTGTACCTGGCAGCTATCTTCATGTCCAGGGAGGTGGGACTTATGTCGGCGATGATGACGTCCTCCAACGAACTGCTGCTGGCAGGATAGAATTGGCACACGTCTACCTCCACCTTTTCCAGAGGTTTCTGATCCTGGGGCAATCTTGGAGAACGCTTGGTGGGACTGCACGTTGGGGTCAGAGGGGACGCGTCTTTCCAATTATCCTCCTCTTCCTCGTCTGTTTCCGGTTTGTCCATTGACAGTTCTGTCACACCTGGGACGATTATTATACGATCATTGCAGGTCCTCCAAAGTCATTTCGACAAGCAGGTAAATTTTGTTGCTATAATGAAGAAATGAGAGGAATGGAAAGGATAGGAACATTTCGTCTTGAACCTACTTAGCGAACTCATCGATAAGGCTACCTGACAGATCCAGTTGTGTCAGACATGGGGATCTTTCAAGATTGGTTTAAGGAAGTATATGTACCAATCTGTAATGGATTGGACATTTGTGAGAAAGGTATCGCATCTGGAGTCATCTACAAGCGAGTATATCTATTAATTTAGGATTTTAAAAATTTTTGTAAGGTTTCATTGGTGCAACGAGTGTATAGAAATTTGAATGTTAGGAGGAGGATCGATTTGAAGTGTACCTGATCTGGAGGAGAGGAAGTCCTCGAGCTCCGCCGCGTGATCGGTCGTTTCGCTTTCGTTCGGGAAGCTTTTGCTGCGTCTCACGGGACAAATCGGTGGCACCCTCTACCGTGTGATCGGCCATCGGGACATACAAAAAGAATCGAGAGAAATCAGGCAATTAATCTCATCGTCAAGCACACCGTCGCGGTGGAGAAACGGGGTGGAGCGATTTACGCGGGGAAAGGAAAGCAGTTTTGAAATAGTGCTACGTTTTTAAGAAAGTATCGTTTTGCTCGAAGCGTAACTTTTAGGTGAAACGACAGATTTGTCGATAGAGGTACTGCTAATGATAAAGATACAGAAGTAGTTCTGGTAATAATAAATGCAATTGTCAGTTAACCCTTGTGGAAAGAAAATTATAATTGTTTGTTTTCATCGGTCTCTTTGACTTTGTTTAAAATTCTGTTAACATCTTTTCGATTCTTCTTGTACCTGTGTATTTATATACATCGTATAAAAGGATATTATCACTTGTCATCGCTATATAATTACGGAGTTTCGAATATGGAGTACTGTATAATGAAGATTATAAACTGTTTCTGTTATGATTGTTAATAACAATAGGTATTTTATTAACAAAGTGGTAGTCCTATTGGAGTCTCCCTTTTAGTTCTTTGATAGAGAATTCGGAAATGAATTTTGTGTCATTTGTACATCAAAGGGAAAGGAATGGTTTTAACTCACTCCTGCAAATTAAATTCGTAAATTTTAACAATTATATCGTCAGTGAACCAAATTTTCTTTACATTCCATCACACTGAATAACTTTTACTCGAAACATCGTTAAGACAATGAGCATGGAAGATGTTATGAAAAGAATGAGGTAACACTAAAGTCAATCGAGGAAAAGAACAAGACAGGGGAAACAGATCTTCTATGATCAGACAAACTTCGTAATGGTAGGACAAGAGCTACTTCTTTTACTAGCCTTTAGACTTGTCATATAATACTTTTTAAATGTTTTAAAGAGACAACTGACTAGCACAAAACATATATACTAAAAACATTTCTACTTTTACAGCAGTCTTCAGTCTATTCGGGATAAAATTATTAGAGCAAGGGAAATTGGTTCGTTTATAGTCAGACATATGTTACAATTAACACGACACGACGTTTCGGGCAAAAGTTATTCATATAAATTATTACGAATAATTTACTATTATTGATAAATTTATTTTATGCAAGAAATAGTGATTAGCAGTAGCTCTATTAGAAGGAGAAGAATCAGAATTCAACAAATAATAGAATTGGAAAATAGAGTACAGACAGTTTCAGATGTTACACAGAGTGAATGTAGAATGAAGCAACGATTCGAAACATTTATAAAACAGAGATAAACAACTACTATTTACAATACTATTCTCAATACATCGTTTTCACCCATACATTTTCTTCCACCGTTTTTTCCTCAAATCAAATCGATGGACTAAATCGAGAAGATCGATCGATTTTTATGGCACTTAAAATCATCCATTATTTCGTTAAGAAAGCATTCTTTTTTTTTTCAAATTAAGGGCACTCGAAGATTTTCTTGTTTAACCAGAAGGTGTAAAAATAGCCACATATTTAGCGTTGACATTGATAAAGGTGCTGATAATAGTATACGCTGGAAACACGATAGTTTACTTAATCCACTAGCATATACTGGCGAAGTGCTGAGATGGAAAATACTGTACACGTTGCGGTTGGTGCAACATCCTCCTCTAGGATTAGCCAATTACGACTACGTCATCGATTTTGTCAACGGAAATTTCGGTGTGTGCTCGAGCAGCTAATTTAGAAACAAATACTTTGGACACCAATCTCAAACACGGGTACAACACGTTGAAAGCAATACGTTCTCTATGTACAGAGTAAACGGGTGTACTTCAACGGAAATAATGTTCTTTAACCCCTTGATGCCAGAAATCGAACGAGTAAAAACTTCTGAAATTCTGAATTGGTAACAAAATTCTGAAATCAGGAAATTTTGAATTGATAACAAAATTCTGAAACCGTGAAACTTTGAAATCTTGAAATACTGAAGTTCTATAATTCTGATATTCTAAAACCGTGAAATATTACATTTTTAAGTATAATCCTGAACTCTAGTCCTGAAATTGAAGAATCCTGAAATCTTTAGATTCTGAAATTTTCCAGTACTGCGATTCTAAACTTCTAAAATTCTAAAATTCTGAAATTCTGAGAATTTGAAAAAATTGCAAATTTGGACATTTGAAAATTTAAATATTCGAATGTAATCTAGCAGACAAAGGGTTAAACTGCGTTCTAGCAAAACAGACAACAGGTGTAAGAGTACGTATCGTCTATATAAAAAATGTATTGAACAATACCCCGATCTTTCGTTTATGATCCACATCTATACCATGATGGAAGTCGAAAATCCCATCACATAAGTCTTCTCAATAAAGAAACAAGCGTTCCACGATTGGAATGACTTAAGTGTTCATCCTCACCTTTCTCTCCCGAATGCTTCGATCCTGTTCAACTTTTATACGTCAAATATTTCAGTAACAAATAAATACCCGGAAAACTGACAGTTTCACCCACGTCTTCGCATTAAAAAGAAGATTTAACAAATGGATCGACTGCATCGATTACCAAAAATATCGAAAGGCTGCACCTTACTGGGGGCGCCTTGCACTTACATCGATATAAAAAAATAATTCTATGCATCTTCCACGACTGGAAATTGTATACAGAATGTTAAAATAAATACTGAAATTCATGGTAGTGGTTTTTCGCCTTTAATACCCTGTGTACTGCATCGTCGCAGTTCCAAAATCATTCGACACATTTAAACCAATATATCGTTTCGATTCAAACGAACTTGAAAACTTACCTATTCTCAAATACATCCTTCGATGTAAGAATCGTTAAATTTGATTGTCTCTTGGAAATGTCAGAAATAAAATTCGACAAAGAAACGTTCACGATTTGTCCCAAAAAGCGCTCGAACTTAAATTAAAAATATTAGTTCCTCGTAAGATATTGATGACTTTCATTAGTAATTAATAAAAAATTATTTTTTAACTAGACTACTTATTTACACTCCTAATATATTCCCAATTTGACTCTCAGCGACTACTTTCTCATCCACGACTGAAAAATAATGATAAAAGAAAGATATTCGAAAAATACTTTCCACCCTAATTCCGTCCGTCATCTTAAAAACTAAGTATCAAATCGGTTTCCAATGTTTGCACGTCAAAGAAGAACTACTTTAATTCATAATAAGAATCACCAAGATATTACGAAAACGTATCATTTCGATTTAAGTTCCCGATCGATCGAACACTCGGATTCAAATCGTTCGAATTCGGATACAGATATGAGACGACGATGAACGGGAACGGTGAGAGGGTTATACGAAGAACACGTTTAGGCAAAGGAAAAAACACTCATGTATAATATTACATCATGATTGGTCATTGCTTTCGGATATGAATATCATTGTTATTATTAAAACGGTCGTGTGGAACGAGCACATATCATGGCCCGTGTTATAGTATCACTAATTAATATCGGATCGATTTCGTTCGTTTTTCTTTGGTCGGTTAACTGCGGCAAATTCGATCGGACTTGCATCGCAAACGGTCCCGGTCTCGGACGTTTAAGCATTGCCCTGAAAAATGAAAATAAGATTGCCGAATTAGTAGCGGGAACGCGTTGTGCAACGCGCACGAGAATATTTAAAGAAACAATGCCTAGGGATCGTGATCTGGCCGTACGCATTCCATCGCGGAGCATTCCTTTCTAAATTTCGTTTAATCGTATTTTTCCTCGTCTTGTTATTTTTTTTTTTTTTTTGTATTTATTGCTAACTAGAAACAGAAGCGCACTAACGTGTCAAACGCTAGAGATGCTTTCGTGCCTGACGAAATCTTTTGGCGAATCGTTTAGTAGAAATGAGGAACGAATTTGGTAACTCCACGATTTTAAATTTTATTGATCCCTTGAATGGAGGGATGAAATATTCTGGCAGTGGATGTTGCTGCCAAAAAAGATTTTTAGGAATTAATTCACGGAAATTGGAATCAAGCAGAAATTTGTCTAGTCAATTAAAAGTTCTAGGTACTGAATAAAATAATGAACCTGATCAAAGTTTATCGAATTTTCTATTATCTTGAATTTTAGATCTACTCGAATTCAAATATTTGCGGATTAATTCTCGAATCCAAGGATTAATTAAAAAGTTGATTTTCTGTGTCAGTGATTCTATTAAATTTTGACTGATTTCACAGAAATCAAGATCAAAGGGTAATTGAACTTCGATAATAAAAAGATGAGTTACGTTGAAAATAAGATATATAGATTGCGCTCATCTCAGTATCTGTGTCAGTGATTCTATTAAATTTTGATTGATTTCACAGAAATCAAGATCAAAGGGTAATTCAACTTCGATAATAAAAAGATGAGTTACGTTGAAAATAAGATATATAGATTGCGCTCATCTCAGTTTTTTCAAAACTGCAATTGCATTTATACATTAACTATCGATTTTACATATTTAGATTAGGAGATTTAGAGCATTCCCTGACCTGCAAAATCTAGCAAAATAAAGATTCCAGTTGAAATTCAGTATTATTCACGCATTATTATTAGTATTAAAATCCACATTATAAAAATTTCTATGCAATATTGTTTTTTTTATATGAATGTCTAAAATTGTAAATTTGCATAAATGTCCGCACTCTATTTATGATAGTATCTGCACTGTGACAGAAAACACGATCATCAGGATAATTTTCAACTGTTCGTATCATCTTTAACACGACCATTTTCATAAGAAAACTATTACAAGATCGCAAAACGTATTTATAAAAAGAGGTTCACTCAAATAAAAATTTATACAGATCAATCTCATATTTTGTGTGAATAGAAAAAAATAATAACTTATTCTGTCCAAATATTAAACCACAATCTCATTTCGATAGAAGATCTTTAAAAGTCATTTATTCAATGTTTGGGGCAGTAGCCCACGGATCAAAGCTGACGAAAACTAAATTGTTAAATAATTCTCGAAATTTCACCAATCACCATACTGTTCCCCCTTTCCAATA